AAAAAAAAAAAAAAAAAAAGAAAGATGGTTCTTGGTCCTGTCTCTACCCTAGAGTGTCAGTAGGTCTGTGCTCTCTTGGGAGACTTGTGGAGAGTCTGACCTACCTGTGCCTCTCTGAAATTCCATATATTTGCACATGTTTACCCCTTTAGTTTTGTCGGACATATTTTTAAGGAACTTAAGGTATATACTTTCAAGATATGTACTCTCATGGTAGCCAGAGGTCCTAGGGTAAACTAATCCTGATCTCATCCAGCTAGTCAGGATGCCCCTTTGCCAAAGCCCAAGGCCTGAACAGTTGTTAGAACTCCCAAGCTATAGGATGGGCATTGATCCCAGCTCACCAATGACCCAAAATACCAAGTGGCCTCAAAGGACAGCCCAGAGAAACACATCAGAAAAACAGGCTGTGTTCATCCTTCAGAGTATGTTCCACCCTTCATCTGTCCAAAGCCAGAACATTTGAAATTTGTATCTGCCCCTGCCATATCTGTCCTGGCTATGCCTCCTTCCTCAAAGCCCCACCTCCCCTGCCTAGGGCACCCCAGGGCTCACATCTGTGCCTGCATATTTCAGGTTTGTTCTGTAATTCTTCACAAGTTCAGGGTTCCTGAAGCTGTCCTGCTCCCTACTCTTTCCATGTGGTAGCTCCATCCAATCAAAGTATAGATGTATTAACTAGAAATTTTAGTTCCTGAAGTACAGTCAATTTGGTAAAGGAAAGTGTGGCCTGAGAAAGCTAGAGTGCCTACTTCCAGGACATCTGAAGCACCAACCATACATGTCTGGCCTCAGAGACAAGTATTCTCTGATGTCCACAGACATTTGTGAAGCCACTGGGAGGAGAGTGGGAGTGAGACTCCCAAGAGAAATTTAATTTATTCTTTAATATTTTATTTGTATGAGTGTTTTGGTTACATGTATGTGTGTGCACCACACGCATGCCTAGTGCCCACAGAAGTCAGAAGAAGGCATCAGCTCCCCTCAAACTGGAGTTACAGGTGGCCGTAAGCCATTGTGTATGCGCTGAAAACTGAACCTGGTTTCTCTGTAAGAACAAGAGCTCTTAACCTCTTGATCCATCCCCAACCCCTCATTTGTTGGTGGTGGGGGAGCATTGAGACAGGGTTTCTCTGTGTAACCCCGGCTGTCCTGGAACTAGCTTTATAGACCAGGCTGGCCTCAAACAGTGATCCGCCTAGCTCTGCCTCCCCGAGTGCTGGGATTAAAGGCGTGTGCAACTACCACCTGGCACTAGAGATTCTTGATGATTAAGCCACAGTGAGTGCACTGAAGCTGCTTCCAAGTAGAGTGGGTCCTGTGAAGCATGCAAGTTCTGCTTCACTGAGTGGGGACCAGGCCATGGCTAAGGATGAGTCAGTGACTCATGTCCTGCTCAACCACACTGCCACAGAATATCAAAATACTGTCTCCAAAGGGGGCCATGTCCTTAGCCTGAGAAATCCCTATAGGAAAGATACCTGCTGAGATGCAAATATCTACAATGAACCCTAGGATAGGCCAGGGCTCCCCAGGGAAGGACTCTGGGATGATGGTCCCTGACAGGTCATCAGAAACATAAAGAGAGCCTCTTATGCAAGCTGTCATTGATTCCCACTTGCCTGGGAGAAAACTGAACAGAGAGCCCAAGTTGGTCTGGCACCAGCACTAGGGGTGGGCACATGGCAAGCCTTGTGTTTCAATGGTTTGTTTCCAAAACATTTAGATAGACAAGACGCTGATGGCATGAATCGCTTCTGGTAAAAGGAGCTGAGCATCTGAGGAGGATGGGAAGAAATTTTCATTGTGCCAACTACATCTTTATAATTTTTTACTGTGGAGCTGGAGAAATGGCTCAGAGGTTAAGAGCACTGGCTGTTCTTCCACAGGTCCTGAGTTCAGTTCCTGGCAACCACATGGTGGCTCACAGCCATCTATAATGAGATCTGGTGCCCTCTTCTGGTGGGCAGGGGTGCATGCAGATAAAACACTGTATACATAATAAATAAATCTTTAATAATAATAATAATAATTTTGTACTGTGCACAGGTATTCCTATTTTTAAAATCCAGTTAGCCAAAAGTCAAAAAAAGAGAAATTGCTTGACACATCACTTCTCAGAAACACCTGTATGGAAAAATGATGTGACATTTTCCTTAGGAATGCAATCGCCCAATGATCAGTCAACCGGGGGAACAAAAAGACCCTGAACTCTGCCCCTCTCCAAGGTCAAATTCAAAATAGGAGCCCTTTCTGGCTTGCAGGCAGCTCACCTCAACAGAGAAAGCAGGGTACAGGAAACATAGAGTCGTGTCTGTGGCCGCTTTGTCACCGGTTTCCGTGATCTCTGCAATGATGAACCCCTTGATGACCACCTCATCATCAACCATGCCCAGTTTGTAGATGTAGGAGTTGGCGTCCATGCTGAGAGCCACCTCTGATTCTGTGAGGGAGTGGGGAAGAAAGGAGAAGTGTGTTCTTGGCCAGCATAGGACTAGATCAGCTCTGGGGATAGAGCTGCTTGACCTTAGAGGAGTCCTGTCCTCTCTGGAGAGCCTGCACCCAGGGTCCAAATGGAGTTAGTGATTAACTGAGATCTCCAGGCCCATTCTGGGTTCCTAGTGTAGTCTGCTCATGCTGAGGGTACCCACAGCCCACTGATGAGAATAGTAATTCCAAACAAAAATCTCTGCTGTCTAGAGACTTTTCTTGACACCATTAGTGCCCTTAATTTGTGATTGTGTGCTACACCCAAGACTCCTGGCCCACTGATATATTTGGCCCATTTTTTCTACTGTGCCTGGGTTCCTTATCACCACCAAGATGTAAGTGCTCAATAAATGCTGTGTCTATTCAAACAAAAGGATAGAGTGTGGGAGTAGTTCACAGAGAAGAGACATCAGGTGGTGGGGGTCCTGGTCTCTGGGGCCCTTTGCCCTTGGTTCTGGTACCTTGACCTTGGATCTGCACCGACTTCTGGATGACTCCCAGGTTTGTCTTCTTGTTGCCTGTGTATGTCTGGAGGTCGAGGGAACATGAAATGCTGACATTCTGTGGGGTGTGCGTTTTCCTTTTCAAAACTAGGGTCAAAGTGATAGGATACCCTAGCTCCACAGAGTTCTGGCGGACATGTATCTGAAGAAAGCTGTTATGTGGCAAGGTGGGCTTGTTCTCATCAGGACGTTTACCAGAGGCCCTGTCCATGGCCTTCCTCTCCTCCGGGGAGCCTGCAGAGACATAGAATATTTTCTGAGGACACCTCTCTAAGGGCCAATCAAATGTCTGAGCACACCCTTGGGGTCTGAGAGAGCTTTCCCTTGTCCTGGTTAGATTTTTTTTTTTTTTAAATCACCTTGACACAAGCCGGAGTCATCTGGGAAGAGGGAACTTCCATTTGCTTGGCCCAAACACAAATCTGTGAGGCATTTTCTTAATTAATGGCTGATTTAGAAAGGCCTCTTCCACTGTAGGTCTAACACCCCTGGCAAAACAGGCCTGGGTTGTATAAGAAAAGTTAAGTAAGACACGAGGAGCAAGCCAGCAAGCAGTGTTCCTCCATGGCTTCTGCTTCAGTGTGAGCACTGAGTTCCTGCCCTGGCTTCCCTCGGTGGACTATTACACAGAATATGTAAACCAAATAAACCCTTTCCTTTCTAAGTTGCTTTTCACTATGATCTTTATCACAGCAATAGAAATCAAACTAAAACAGAAATTGGTACCAGGAGTGTGGTATTACTGTGACAGACATGACCATGTTGTTTGGGAAAGGATTATGGAAGGACTTTGGGAGGACTTTGGAACTTTGGTCTGGGAAAGCTGTTGAGTGTTCAAAGCTTAGTGGGCTATTCTGTGGAAACCTGGAAAATAAAAATGTTGAGAGCAATGCAGGCATTGGAATCCTGGCTTAAAAAGTCTCAAGAGGATCTTGAAGAGTCCATTAAAGGATCTGTCAGAGACATCTGTATAATATATTTGAATTAAGACTCTGTGGTACCTGGTCAATTGGAGTTGAAGAATCAGCTGTGCACTTGAGAGGAAAAGGAAGGCAGATATATTTGAGGCCAGCCTAGTCTACATAGGAAGTTCTAGCCTAGCCAGAGCTACACAGTGACGACCTCTCTCTCTCTCTCTCTCTCTCTCTCTCTCTCTCTCTCTCTCTCTCTCTCTCTCTCTCTCTGTCTCGTGCGCGCGCGCACACGCACGCACACACACACACACACACACACACACACACACACACACACAAGTCAGCTGATTATCAAGAAGCAAGTGCTACTAAAGTGAAACTTTTATGAGACAATTGGTGACTGGTCAGCCGGAGGTGAGAAATCAGATGTGATTAAGAGACCAGCATCAGGCCAGATAGTGGTGGTGCATGCCTTTAATCTCAGCATTTAGGAGGCAGAGGCAGGCAAATCTCGGTGAGTTGGAGGCCAGCCTGGGTTACAGAGTGAGTTCCAGGAAAGGCTCCAAATCTACACAGAGGAACCCTGTCTCAAAAAAAAAAAAAAAAAAAAAAAGACCAGCATCATTGGGGTGGGATCTTCTGGGAGGTATTTCCTCACTGTGGGCACACAGAGACTGTGGTTTTGAGAGGGCCAAGGCTGCATCTCATGCTAGCAGCTGACCTTGGTAATGTAAGAGTTTCCCAGGTGGTACTAGTTTTGAAGGCATACAGATGTCTTGGATATCAACTGAAGCGTGGCACTGTAAGAAGCCAGGAGAGGTCACTGGGGAAGGTACAGCCATGGAGATGCCAGCATATTGGAAATGCAAAGACCATGGGATGGCCACCAAGTACAGTGGCACGCGTAGCATGGAGCCAACTTGAGCTTAGGAGATGAGCTATGTGTGCTGCAGATGTCAGAACCAGAGAAGCAGAACTGGGTAGGCCCTTGGGAATCCAGAGGACTGTGTAGGTCTCAGATGCAAAGCACTGAATGTTTTGTACTGAACATTTAATTTGGGGTTTGGCCGGGCGGTGGTGGCGCACGCCTTTAATCCCAGCACTCGGGAGGCAGAGCCAGGTGGATCTCTGTGAGTTCAAGGCCAGCCTGGACTACCAAGTGAGTTCCAGGAAAGACACAAAGCTACACAGAGAAACCCTGTCTCGAAAAAAAAAAATAATAATTTGGGGTTTGATTTGATTTGATTGTGACTATGCCCTGGGTCATCCTTCTTGGAATAAGAAATACATAACCTAGGGGCTGGAGGGATGGCTCAGAGGTTAAGAGCACTGACTGCTCTTCCAGAGGTCCTGAGTTCAATTCCCAGCAGCCACATGGTGGCTCCCAACCATCTGTAATGAGATCTGGTGCCCTCTTCTGGCCTGCAGTCATATATGTTGTATACATAAATAAATAAATCTTTTTTTTTTTTTTTTTAAAAAAAGGAAATATATATCCTATTTTTTTTATTTTATAGGAGCCCACAGTTAAGAGACTTTGGATATCATAAAGAAACTGAATTTTTAAAGATTGTGGGACTTTTAAAAGTTGGAATGTTTTTATATTGTGATATTGATATTAATATAAGATCTTGAGGGATAAGCAAGACAGGAAAGGGTATTGTTTAATAGTGTTGTATTTGTGTGTCAAGTTGACAAGGAGTCAGTTGTACAGGTTAGATATTTTTGTAAACTTGACACAAAGCAGGCTCATCTGGGAAGAGAGAACTTCACTTGAGAAAATGCCTCAATTTGATCGGTCCATAGACAAATCTGTAAGGCAGATGAACGATGAGGGAGGGCCTATTCCATTGTGGATCTGCCACCCCTAGGCAGGTGGGTCTGGGTTGTATAAGAAAGCAGGTTGAGCAAGACATGAGGAACAAGCCAGTCAGCAGTGT